ATTGAAGTTTGGAAACCAAAGGTTTATTTTTTTACTTGAAACTAAGAGCCATTTGATAATATAAAAATTTTTGTTTATCTAGAGCACATGTGTCAAACACAAGGCCCGCGGGCCAAATCCGTCCCGCCAGGCCTTGCAATGTGGCCCGCACCGCGCTGTCATCACTACACTCCGCTGCGTTTCCATCACAATGACAGTTTATGACTGTTCAGTAAACCATTCGGCCCGCGATTTAGGCTGGATTTTAGATTTTGGCCCCTTCTCTGATTGAGTTCGACACCCCTAATCTAGAGCCTCAATGTCCAGTACAGTAGCCACTTATCATGGGTGGCTCTTTAAACTTAATAAAACTAAATACAATTAAAAATTCAGTTTCTCAGTTGCACCAGCCACATTACAAGTGCTCAGAGGGTACGTGTGGCTAGTGGCTACCATACTGGATAGTGCAGATAGGAACATTTCTGCTGTTGCAGGGATGGAGTGATGCTGGGCTCAGAGTGCTGGTCCTCACACCTTAGCATGCATCGGATCGCCCAGAGCACTTGGCAAAACGTAAACTACGAAACTCCATCGTAGGAGTTTCTGACTCAGTAGGTTTGGGACGCACTGGAGAAATTACGCTCATTGCAAGTTCCTGGCAATGCTGCTGCCGGTCCAGGAGCATACCTTGAGAACGAACCACCAGTCCAGCGAAAGGATCCTTGACCTAAAACCTGTGACCCTCCTAAAATTGAAGGTGAAATGCTGTACATACCCATATAGTAAAGGCCCCAGGATATAGGGTCTGCAGTTTTCATCCGAGTCTCAAGTGGGTCAGCAGACCAGTCAGGAGACCGCTTAGCTGCCATTGAAGGAAAATCTGACTACGAGTGACTTAAGTCACAAGGACAGTGATGTTCATTGGGCACTGGAAGAGGCAGGGCGTTTCAGGGTTCTTCCAGTGGCTCAGGCGCCTCACTGAGAAAACCAGGCACTTGAATTCCCCAGAAAACCACTTCTGGATTTCTGGTCAGAATCCTCAACTGCCCACCCCTAAACCAGTCCTGACCAAGGGGAATGGGATTTGCATAATTAATTGCTTTAGACTAATTGTGATTCAACCCTGGGGCTGGAGAGGGGTCAGAGTGGGTAAGCCTTTCCTGGAACCAAGGGGTCTCTGTCAGTTCTCTGAACCAAATATTAGATCCCTAATAGGAGTTAGGGGAGAAATGGCCCTAGGTTGTAAGGATCTTTGTCTATCTAATTAAGTAACCTAAAAAATGTTAGGAACATCTGGCCAGCATCTTTTTAGATCACCACATGCTTTCAATTTGCTGGACAAGGAGGGCCTGGACAAGCTGAGCTATGAAGATGTACTTGGCTTTGTCCTCTCATGCCTATGGCAGGTCTGTGAAGTAGTTCTGCCCGTAATGAGGGTGAGGTAAGGTGGGATTTAGGACTTTGAATTGTGTTTCTGAAGTCAGCATCTCACTACCCTGAAAGCTAGTCTCTTCTGACTTTGGCCCCAGATTTTAAAAAGGGCTCTTGCCTGGTTCCTTTGGCCAAGTCCCTGTGCTGTGCTTTCTTTAGGGATTCACATTATTCCTTTTCTCTCACTAGTCCTCTTGGAATTAGAACCCCGGTCCTGAATTTTGAGCCCAAATACTTAGATTCTGCTGCCAGACTTCCTATCTCCCTGCCTGGAATCCCTGCTTATCTCCTCCCATCAGTATGCTTCAGAGCCTCTGCTTCGCTAAGTAGAGAGATCATGTCTAAAAATGTGCGTTTCTGTCTAAGTGAAGCCCTGAGAGTAATGAGATCATTGAAGGAGATGATGTCAGAAAAAAAGCTGAGCACACCCCCCCCCCCCCCCCCCCCCCCCGCCCACCCAATCGAATTAAGGGCCTAGTCATCTGTTTTTATCTGTAAAAGCCACAAATCAATAGACCTATAAATCCCACACAAGGCACCACGCATCAGTAGACCTAACAGTGTTCTCGCAGTGTTCTCACCTGGGAATCCAGAGGTGCCCCATGAAAGGAACGGTGGCGGCGGAGCGGGCGGAGCTCTCCGCCTGTGTCCCCTGCCCACAGAGCAGTTCTGCTTTGATGTGTTTTTGTATGTGATGGACAACATTTTATATGCAGAAACGGAGGGTTCCACCTCTCATTGAAACGGGTGGGAGCCCTGGCTAAACGATGTCGAGAAGGTGCCTTCTCACACTGGCATTGAGCTCCCGAGCTGGAAGCCAGAACACAGGTCCGAAGGCTGCCACATAGGAAACAGAAGCACAGTCCTTTCCGGTTTAGGAGCTAGGACTCTGACCCTCTTGTTCTGTGGTTTTGAGCTCGCAGTTGCCTCCGTTAACAGCTGGATACAGTACCCGATTGTTTGCAGCCAAAGTCCTGCTGCAAGTCTGTTTCCTCCAAAGGCCTCTTCCGCAGCCTCCCTCCCCCATCCTCCCAGGACAGAGGGGGACACCAGGGGGAATGCATGTTTCCGTTCCCCCGGGGGCTTTGTGTGTCTTCCCCTCACACCCTTGTCCAGAAACTCTTGTGTAGGGAATTTCTGTTTTCCAAAGATGCTTACCAGAAACAACTTGGCAGAAAGAGCATAGTTTTGGGGCGGAGGCTCTCGTTAAATGATCACAAAAGCACATGTCCCTGTGGCGAGTCTTAGAGGGACGCAGCAGAGTGGAAACCGAGGTTCCAGCTGAATCCGGAGTGGAAATGAGGAACACCTCCATCACTGCCGCGTGCATCAGAGCGCCTAATCCCTGGCAGAATCCCGGGGTGCCTGGGTGTGCTTTCTGAAAGTGTGTGTCTGGTATTAGAATGGATACTGAAGCCATGGGGAGCTGCCTGTTGTTAGCCGACAGATTTCAGAACATAAAGCTTGGCTTCTGCCGGGACCGGTTTAGCTCAATGGATAGAGCGTCAGCTTGGGGACTGAAGGGACCCGGGTTCGATTCCAGTCAAGGGCATGTACCTTGGTTGCGGGCATATCCCCAGTAGGGGGTGTGCAAGAGGCAACTGATCGATGACTCTCTCTCATCGATGTTTCTAACTCTCTATCTCTCTCCCTTTCTCTGTGTACAAAATCAATAAAATATATTTTTTTTAAAAATAAAGCTTGGCTTCTGGGGAATGAGCAGAGCCGTTCTCAGAGGGCATGCACGAGCCCCTTGAGGGCTTGGGGGGGGAGGGGGAGAGTAATTTTTGGTTATAAATGGAAGGCCTTTGTTAAACGTTGAAAAACAAAGAATTTTTTTTTTTTAAAGTTGAAAAACATAGTCCAGTCTTCTGAGGCTGGGAGAGGGAGAGTTGACTTGCCAAGGTCGCACAGACCATTATACCAGGTGGCTTCGCTCTGTCCACAGAGCAGGCCTGATCCTGGCTCCCCCTCCAGACCCGAGGCTCCCGGGTTCCTCCCTGCGGCCCGCGTTCTGCAGCCCAGCCACCTTCTCCTTGATCTGGTGGCCTGGCTCTGGGGGAGATGGGCTACAGCTGGTCTGCAACAGACAGACCATAAATTTGTGCAGACTTTCAGAGTGACCCACTCGCCTTATTTTTCCACTGCGGTGAATGGAAATGTAGACAGCAGACTGTTTCACAAGACGGACAGCTCAAAAGAGAACAAGGGAAACCCAGAACAGGGAAATGTGCGATTTGTTTTTGCTTTTAAAAAGAAGCTTATTACAGAGCTTCTTGGTTTTGTTTTGTTTTCTTTTCTTTTCTTTTTTTACCTCTGTCATCTGTGACCCATTCGCCTGTGCAGCCAAGATATTTTGGCGTTTTTTTTCTCTGGGAAAGCAGTGGGTGGGTGCGTGTAGAGGAGCCAAAAGTTAACAAAATACCAGCAGATGCTGGAGCTGAGGAAGAGGGTTCTCCCACCTCCCAGGCAGAGGCCCACCCACCTCCCACCCTCCAGGCTCCCTGGGGAAAGGCTAAAACTCTTCAACGTGAGAGGGCTTCCGAGTCCTGAGAGAGGCGACCTCTAGGAACACTTCCTGTCCGCAGGCTCTTTGGGCTTTGCCTTTCTGAGGATGTCCCCGGCCCTGTAGGAAGTCATAGCATTGTCTGTGAAGTCAAGCTCACCTGATTTGATTCCAGATCCATCATAGAATCCAAGTCAACCATTTCCCATCTGGGTGGTTTTGGGTGAGTTCCTCAAACCTTCCAAGGCTGTTTTCTCATCTGTGATAGAGATAATAGCGCCTACCTCATCAAGTTCGTTAGAATTCAATAAGATAACGTGTATAAAGGACCAGGCACAGTGCCAAACACCTGACAGATACTCAGTAAATTAAAAGGTTTTTGCAATGCCTCCCTTTTCCTGAGCAACTTCAATACAGCTTTCTCTTTCCCCTGAGACGAGGAATAGTAGCTTTCTATTCTACTTTGATTCTAGTTGAAGTAGGAATAACAGAGTGAATTCATTTTCCTTAAAATTGACAAGGAAAAAATTTTACACACTATAAACTGCATCTTTTCCAATTCAGTGAGTTTGGAACCTACAGAACATTTCCATCAGCCCCAAAGATCCCTCTGATACCTTTTCAGTCTGTCCCTTCTCCTCTGCCCTTAGCCCCAGGCAACTACTCATCTGTGGTCACTATAAATTAATTTGCATTTCATATGAATAGTATCCTACAGTATGTATATTTCTATATTTTTTTCACTCAACACACTGATTTTTATTTGTATTTTATTGTGTGTTTTTTGTTTTGTTTTTTTTAAATATAGTTTATTGATTTTGTACAGAGAGGAAGGGAGAGAGATAGAAAGCCAGAAACATCGATGAGAGAGAGTCATCGATCAGCTGCCGCTTGCACACCCCCTACCGGGGATATGCCTGCAACCAAGGTACATGCCCTTGATGGGAATCGAACCCGGGTCCCTTCAGTCTCCAAGCCGACGCTCTATCCATTGAGCCAAACCGGTTTCGGCTGAAATTTCTTTTGAGAGCCAAATTATTTAAACTTAAATTTCTTCTAATGTAACTTCTTCAAAACAGACTCCATATAAACAGTGTCCAGCTGTAACCTGTGAAGAGGATATATTATAAAAACATGAGATGCTCCTGCCATTCTGAGAGCATTCATGTATCAAACCCAACCTGCCTTAGGGTATGCACCACAGGGGTGTTGAGAACCAGAGCAGGATTTGCACATCGGCCCGCTTGCTTAGGTCTGTATCTCAGAAGCTATAAATACAACTCTTTCGGTGCTCTCTTGACGAGGAGCCTAATTCTGAATTCTTTCCCATTTTACAGCTGGTCCATCAGGAATACGAAGTTAAGTGCCTTTCCATATAGACAGTTAATCCTTAGAGCACCCGGCTGAATGGCTGAGTTCCACTGTGTTTGGTTTGAGTTTTTATTTTTGGAACACAAATAGTGAGTCAGCCTCCCTTCTCTCCCTCTCTCTTCCTCACTACCCCTTCTGGGGTTCTCTTCGACTGTGGTCACACTAGTTAAATAGTCTTTTCCCTAAAACGCCCTTTGAACCATGACAGAACAAGGGGAGAGAAGTCCTCTGCCCTCTGCTCCTCAGTGTGCCTCCCTTACTTTAAAAGAAAGATCTATTTAAGGCCATTCCCTTTTGCTGTCTTCGAAGAGCCAGGACTATTTTATTTCTTTAAAAAAAAAAAAAAAAAAAAAAGGCGGGAGGGAATGTGAAGATAGCAGCTATACCTCTCTGTTCTTGCTTTTCAACAGTGTAGCTTTGGTAAATTCACTCCCTTTCTTCCTTTCTTTTTGAGAGGCAGTGTGGTGTAGGGGGGGAAGCATAAGGCTTTGGAATTAGAAATTTGTAGGTTTAAATCCCAAATCCAATATTTACATAACCAGCAAATCATTCACTCTCCATGAGGTTCAACTTCCTTTTCCTTTTTGTAAAATGGGAATGACATGTACCTAAGGGTTTGTCATAGAATGTCTATACCATTCAGGGCCTGGCATATATGTGTGCTTTTGTTATCTCTTCCTGTTATCTTTTATTCTCTTTCTGAGGAGCTAGGACATGGGATACTCATAAAAAAGTCTGAAGAGGGGGAGTTTGAATTTTATTAAAGGTGTTGTTTTTCAGTTCAGAGCCCTATTTAAGGTACCCTTGAAAAAGAGAAATGCTGCGTTCTCTTTGGCTGAGCTGGGCAGTCCAACTCAGAGTCCTGCCATGGAGGGTGAACATCGGAGTCATTCTGCCTGTTGTTTTCCTTGCTGCTGCCAAGTAGATTATCTTGGGTCTCTGGAAGCAAACTCTACTGTGATGTGAGTTTGTTAGTGAGAAGCGTATCTTATAGGCAGAAGTGTGAGTTGGGAAAAGGTTGAAGGAAAAAAAGACAACCTATCTGTCTAATATGGAGAAGGCCAAGTATAGGTTGATGGGAAGGAGAGGGAAACCCAGTTTTCACATTTAAGAGGGCTGTACCTCCATCTTCTGAAGTACAGCCCTGAAAAACGGCCATCTCTGTCTGGATGGGATGAGGCCACATCAGTGTCTCTGAGTACCTTCTGGTTGCCATGCCTCACAGCTGGCCTCAGTGTCCTCTTTGCACAAGAGCCTCCGTTGCATTTCAGTTGGGGAGGAGGCTGCCCTCTGCTCCCCTTTGGCCACTAAGGATTCTGTGGTCTCCCCAGTCAGCCGTGTTCAAACCTGATTACCCTTTGAGATACAGTTCAGGGCTTAGCTCTTCCAAGACGCCTCCCTTGACTACTCTGCCCGGTTTGATGGTTCCCTGGCCACCCTAACTCATTCAAGGAGCCTTGAGAATCTAAATCTGTGAATATTTAATGAGTACAAACTGTGTGTTGGAGAAAGGGGATTGATTAGAGAGAGACAGATGAGAGGTGGGACTGGTGCCTAGCACTTACACTTGACTATTCCTTGCTCCACTTTTCTCTCCTCAGCCAGGTTCCCAGACGTCCTCTGGCAGTCTAGTGATTCCTCACTCTAACCTGAACCTCTGCTCGTACATAAATATAGTTCAAATTTTATTTCGGTTTCCCAGGCTTCATACTGTCCCTACAGTTTTGGATGCAGTTTATTTTGCTTAACATTACACATTTAGAAATGCTTATTATACACTTTGAGGTTAATTTAATGTCTGCAAATATGACTCACTCATTGAAACACTTTATACCACCAGAACATTGGAGCCTTCATTTTGCTAGGTAAGGAAACGGGCTTCCATGAATCATTAAAACCCCTGTGTCAGGCTGGTTTTATGCAGGTTACCACTTAGGCCTAAAATTCTGTTTTCCCCTCTCCAACTGCATACAGGATATTTTGACTCGCCAACAAATAAGATAATATAGTCTCGTCTATCTTAAGGTATGTGTTGTATGGCTGAAGAACATTTACATTCAGATCTGTAAAATAAGTAAGTCTTAAGTTTTACCTATGGATTGATTCTAAGGATAAATAATCATTGTTCTTTATTGTGTAAATATGCATAGCATGGTTGGTGAAGAAAATAAAGATCTATGATACTAAGCCTGTGACATTTAAAGGAGAATATTTTAAACATCAGGATCAAATAGGAAATTGTTTCTATATTCTATCATTTGCCACATTTTCATTGCTTCATATTTATTATACCTTGTCTTTGCTTTTTGTTTCCCTTGGAGTTTGTAATTGCATCTGCTTTTACCTTATGACTGACTTCATTTAGCTTCTTAGTCATAATGTTCATTGTAGGGAAATGACTTTCATCATGACACATTCTTAAGTCCAAAGAGTTCCTGTTCTCATTTATAGTCCTGCTACCCTTTCATTGAAATCCTGAGTTAAACTTCCTTTCTTGTACCCCATGTTGTCCTCTTTCTTAAAATGCTTTTTTAATTTTGCCTTAAAGAATATGTGGTAACCTTTTAAAAAAAAAAAGAACACATAGAAGTGAAACCAAGTCCTTGCGTCTCTCAAAGGTGTGTTTAGCCCAGCTGTTTCTTTAGACAGTCTTTCAATTAATCACCTTGATTTCTGCTCCTCTTCCTGACCTTGCTCTACTTATCCTCTAATTCTGTGCTGTCAATCACAGTAGCCACTAGCCACATGTGAGCTGTCAAGCGCATGAAATCTGTCTCATCTGAATTTCGAGGTGCAGTAAATGTGAAATACACACCAGATTTTCAAAGAGAAAGACAGTATTTTTATATTGGTTTTATGTTGAAATGATATTTTGGATATATTATTAAAATTAATTTCACCTGTTTCCTTTTACTTTTTAAATTTAAAGAGAGAATTTTAAATTATATATGTGACTCACATTTCTATTGGACAGTCTTTTCTCGTCCCCAACATGGCCCTTCACCAGCCTTCTCAAGGAGCAGCTTTAGCTCCTGCCTGCAGCCGGTCCCAGGCTCTTTCACCTGTCTCCCTTCATTTGGCTTGTCTGAAGATGAATCTATGTTGTAGTATAACTACAATATAGTACATTGACCAGTATAATCTCATCTACTTTCTATCTTTTGAAAAGTGTTTAAATTTCTATCTGTTCCTTTTTTCCCTTTTCCCCCCTCTCCCCACCCTAAGCACTCTGTCCTACTTTGTCACATCTTTGGGATTTAGGAGAGAGGAGAAATAATGGCATTTTTATTCTGTCAATTGGGAAACAGAAGAATTGACTGATTGTTATCACTATTTTGAATAATAGTACAATGGTCATCTTTATGTATAATAAAGATGTATAGAGATGTCTATATCTCTAGATGTTTTCTTAAGATGGATTTCTGGTTCAGATTATATGACTTTCTTTTATGGCTCTTGATATACATATTGACAAATGTATTTCAAAAAAAAAGATGCCAATTTATGTTCTCTGTGGGTGGTTTGATAAAAGATGGGAGCAGTTACCCGAAAGGAGCCAGATTCAGTCTGAATCCTCTTGTGTGGGTCTTTTATCTCCGCTTCTGTGGGAAGCATGTCCTCTTTTCTGAATCACTTAACTTGTATGCACCTTCATTCTTAGTTGTAAAGTAGTGATAATCATGTCCTAAAGTAATGTGCATAATAGCATGCTGAAGGCAATATTTCCATTAATTCACTTTGGCAAGTGTTTGAGAGCCTCCTACTTACACTGAATACATGTGCTACAGAAGGAACTATGAGGCGTGTCCAAATGATATAGACCCTGGCCTCAAAACAGATTTCTAATGAAGAGACTAGAGTGGGAAATAAGACGCACACTCATAAGAAACTGTCTCTTTGTGACTTGTAATGAAGTAGAAGCTCGACATTAAAGGAGTTTACATGGAAAAGATTTTGCATTCCACTTAAAAGGTGGCATTTAAGGTAGGCCTTGAAGGAGGAATATAACTTCAACATAGTAGGGAAGCAGGTTGGAGGGTGTATGAGGTGTGAGGATGACCTTGAGCAAAGGCACAGGAGAGAGTTCTAGATAGAAAGTTGATAATTTTCACTAAGGTATCGGCAAAAAGTAAAGAAAACAAACATTTTTGTTTCTTGTGCCACCGAATAAGGTACTTTCTGTATTTATTTCTTCTGTGCTTCAAAAGGGAAGGCGGGGAGAAATCATTTCACTCAGTTTGGGCTCTAGCCAGAACTGAGTAGGCGAAGCTTGTCCATAGGGACAAGAACATAATATATTTACACTGGCCCTTCTCTCCCACAGAGGTCGGAAATTCTGAGACATTTTTTAAACAGTTCTGAGCCTGTGACACATTACCCTTATCCCACCAAATGATAACTTGCATCAGAAATATTGAGATGTGGCCAGAGAAAGGAGATTCCCAAAGAGAAGAATAACTTAGACAAAGGATAGGCTGCCAATAGAGAGAGGAAAGGGAGGGGCTTAGACCTCTGGTGTCATCATGAAAAGGTGAGGAATTTTGTGAAACAAGATAAGGATTCTGCTTTTGATCCATCTTTCTGGCCTTTCCTTCTGGGAGTTCACTGCTCTCTGTTCTCTGACAATCTAGAACCATTCTGGTCACCCACCTCCCTCCCTCCCAATTACAACGCCCAAGATTTTTTTCATCCTCAGCAACATTCAGGATTCTCTTTTTTGTTGCCTATAAAATGGAGCCAAGCCGAAACCGGTTTGGCTCAGTGGTAGAGCGTCGGTCTGCGGACTGAAGGGTCCCAGGTTCGATTCCGGTCAGGGGCATGTACGTTGGTTGCGGGCACATCCCCGGTCGGGGGTGTGCAAGAGGCAGCTGGTCGATGTTTCTCTCTCATTGACATTTCTAGCTCTCTCTCTCTCCTTCCCTCTCTGTAAAAAAATCAATAAAACATTTTTTTTTTTAAATGGAGCCAAATTCCTATGCTTGGCGTTCAGGGTACTCTCAGTCACTCTGGCCACTGTGGCTTATATATGTAACACCTCACTTTACATTGTACCGCAGTCCCTAACCTTGATTCTGTGGCTTAACATCTCTCATACACTTCTTCCAACACCAGCATCTTGTTCATCTGTTTTATTTACTCAAACACTTACTGAATGCCTGTTATATGTCACTTCTTCGATGAACTTTTATTAAGCAACTGCTATGTTCTAGGCCTTATTTTAGAGCTTGTGAATAGAGTCATAGGAAAGGGGATAATGTTGGTGAACGAAAATTCTTTCCAAAAATCGGGATTGTTTTAAAATGCCGCAGGACTCGGGACAAATTGTTAAAAATCAGGACTGTCCCACCAAAAATGGGACGTCTGGTCACCCTACCTAAGTAGCAGGGGGAATGGCACAGGAAAGTATAGAAATCTGAACAAAATAGCACTATATTAGGAAGCAGGAACATCAAGGTCAGTGAGAGACAGTATGCAAATGGCCTAAGTAAGGGTGTTTTGCTATTCAATGCAAGATGATTGATTCTTAGCCTACCTCATTCCAGTAGGCCAAATCTGAAGGTTGACTCTAGTTCCTAGTATTAATATAAAAAGGGGCCACTCGCTCCTCTGTATTCAGTGAGAACCAGGTAGCCAATCTTCTAGATAGTTCTATACTTTTAAAATTCCATGCTATTTTTTTTTTTTTTAATCAGAATTGGGCATTCAGTCTATAGATTTTTCTAGGAAGACCTAGCTTGGTCAGCAGAATAGAACGTATCCAGAATGACATCAGTCTGGCAAGCTTTAAAGGAAACAACCCAAGATAGCTAACACAACTCCTGTTCTTTTATTTACCATTTCACACCTGGAGCAGTCAGGAAGTTACATTTAAAAACAATTCTCACTTTAAAAAAAAAAAAAAAAGCACTGATTCACTGTGAAACCGGAAAGATTCATTCATGGGAGCTGATTGTTCATATTTGTAGAATTTAGAATTTTTAAATGGAAGGGGCATTAAAGTTGAATAGGGTCTTCAAAAAGAAACAAAAGGCTCTTGCTTTCTGCATGAACGGAGTTCATTCACAAGACAGTGTTTCTTGATCTACGAGGAATGATTTCAGACAATTAGCTAATTGGTTGAGGGAGGTGACCTACCAGCTCTGCAGAGAGGATGTGTGCTCTTAGGGATCCACATAAAGAATATATCTTAAGCTTTCCCTGACAGCCAAAAGGAGCCCCATTAATCCTCCTATGTAATGGCCAGTCATAACCACAGAGAAGGAGTATATTTCACTGGAGAGAAAAGCTATGCAAACCCCAGCAGCTGCCAACAGCCGGTCACTGTCACCATTAGCTCAGTGTTGTTTTAGGCTTTGAAATATTTCTGAATGATCTTCCAATTTGCTCTATTTTAAGGGGATAAGTGACCCTCCAGAAACAGTGTACCGCTTATTTTTAAGTGTTATCAGTGCTTAGTTCATTGAAATTATACTTGTCTGTTGTATAGAAAACAAGAGCATAACTCATTCAAAGCAACATCTTGAAAGTTCAAATGTGGGTGTACACAAAAACGGGTGGGGGTGTTTCTGTAGTCAAATGTTATTTTTTTCCTCTGGATTTCAAATGTGAAAGAAATTTAAAATGAAAGAAAAGGGTCATAGACTTGTCAAGAAGTGAATCAGGAAAAGATAACTGATATATCGATATGTTGAATCTCTTTGCCCCTAGACTGAGAGCCTGTGAAATTGGTGTCATTGTTTTATGGGACATATTATTAAGATGTACTCAAACTATAAAGTTTTATGATGAAAATGGCTGTGGTCATCATCGGATGTCTAGTCCCTGCAGCCAGAACAACCACAGGGCTGATGGAGAGACAAGTTTTCGTAGCACTGAGTGATTAAGAAGGCATTGGACGTGGCTTGAATTGTTTCTGTTATCTACCTGCTATATAACTCTGGCTAAGCACATGCTAAGTATCTATATCAGGAATATTTTCATTTATTAAGCTAACTGACACTGGTTTAAATACATTACATTACAAGAAGTCTACGATAAGCACTTGCTGCCTTTGGTTTAGAGACTCAGTGTTACAATCAAGGATGCTTAATCTTTATGTCTTCCCATTCAGGCATCCATCACATATTAGCTTTCAACCTCACAGTAAAAGAAAATCAGATGCTTTCCCAAGAATCCCCAGCAGATTTCTGGTTATGTCTTATTGTCCAGAACTGTGACACACAGTTGGGTACTTCTAGTTTGAAGGAAGGCTAGGAAAGTAAATGCTATCGTTTTCTAGACTCTACAATAGGGGTGTCGAACTCAATCAGAGAAGGGGCCAAAATCTAAAATCCAGCCTAAATTGCGGGCCGAATGGTTTACTGAACAGTCATAAACTGTCATTGTGATGGAAACGCAGCGGAGTGCAGTGATGACAGCGCGGTGCGGGCCACATTGCAAGGCCTGGCGGGACGGATTTGGCCCGCGGGCCTTGTGTTTGACACATGTGCTCTACAATGAGGCAGATTGGCACAACGTTCAGTTAATGATGATGAGGGTGACAAAGCACTTTGAGCTTTCCTGAAAATTCAAGTGATATGATAGCTAACATTTTATACTGTATGAGGTACTTTTACTTACATACAAAAGGAGATTGTTGTTGATGGTTGTTGTTGCATGTTTAGAAGTTCTCTGATGATTGATCCAACAAAGAAAGGCCAACCAGGAAGGAGAGCATAGCTTAAGCCTTCTCATTGACCTGGCCCAACTCAGGTCTATTGCTTACAAAATCTTCCTAGACCACCCAGAACCAAAGCTCACTGCTCTAAACTAATATCACTTATGACTTACAATATTTACTTGCTACTTTATGTTTTAAAAATACTCATGGATTCTTAGCTAAGTTTGGAGCTCCTTAATCTCAGGGTCTCCATAGAAATGCCCTCTGGAATGTAGAGAACTCAGTGTTACTCATTTATTGACAGAACATTTTCTGTTTCTCATCATTAGCTGAATTTGAGGTAGTTTAGGGATGGGGAGTGATTATAATGATGCTTTTTTTATAAGGAAAGAATTTTGTTTTCTTTTGCTTAAAGCTTCCCCCCCCCCCCCCCAACTTTCCCCTTATGGCTCTTTTCCTCCTAAGAGAGCAGGATGTCAAGGAGTGAAGTATATCATTCCTTTTTTATTACTCCCCAGCCTCTTTTTAAACAAGCTTAACTCGGACTTAGCTACGAGGAATTTTGCCGTCATTTCTAGTAGAGCAAAAATTCCTGCCCCCTCACTGACATCTATTAATACTTCAGTGAAAAGGAAACCCTTGCATTGTAGCATCTTTGGTGCCTTTTGGACACTCCGCCATTCTCATATCTTTTTGGAAGATTGACTTAAGAGGCCAATAGTATTGAGTAAGGACATCAACCCCATTGATATTTACAATGAGGTATAAACAAGTATCTGATATTTTGCTGAGACCAAATGCTAGGAATATTGTAGGGATTTTGGAACTTGAATATATTACGTAGTAGATGACCATTTACCAAGGAGTCTTTAGTAGCAAAGCAAGTTGGAGAATCCTATTTCTCAGTCCAAGGTTCTTTCAACATCATTCTCTGCTAGAGTCCTCAGAAGTCCATTGCAGAATGTACATGTCAGAGAAAACAGCCAGATTTCTGAGCGGTTGAATCCAGTAGGTCTCTTCTCTTTACCATGTCTCTGCGACTTTAGAAATAGAGATGAGAGTAATTTTGCGAACATATTTTAGTATAATTTATATCCCTTTTAAAATGACTAACCCAGTTTGTTTGTTTTTTTGTTTCTAACTGCACAAGACCCAAGAATTTCCTAACATCATGTTTCTCATGCCCTTTGGCCACTTAATTTTCCTACACTTTTAATTCTAGTTTTCACTGTTTGATGATGGCTGTTGTTTAGATACAGCAAATATGGTACCTGTATTTCCTAGTTCTAAAATAGACTTTATGTGTAAACATTCATAGACAAAACAAAACACAAAATCTTAATTCTTAACTATTTACATTATAAAGCAGTCCACCATGGCTTGGGAGATCTGGAGGCCAGTTAATTACCTCCCATCCCCCTTCCTTCTGATCTGAAGAGTAGGAAGAAGAGCCAAACGGAGATGAAGGTATCAGTGCTACTCATGGCTGCCCAGCGGTTCCTAAAGAACAGTCCGGAGATGTCAGTCTAGGAGTGCTCCATGCACTGAAAGGAAGCTAAGGATGAAATCCTGAGAATTGTAGCTTTTAAAAGGATCCTCATGAAGACTGACAAGGAGCACAGAGTTGCAGGAAGTTAGGGTGTCAGAAAATCCAAAGGTATTTGGGAGCAGCATTTAGAAAAAGAAGGAGTGTCCGCCTGCCTCAAATGCTGCCAAGAAATCAGTGAAAGTGTGAGCAGCAATCACAAACACATCAATGGGATTTTACAACAAAAGAAGTCTTAAAAAACATTCACAAAACTTGCTGTTCTCCCATCCCAGACTGCCTAGAGTCTAATCACATAGGACCATCTATATTTTTGTTGTCCCAGTGTACCTTCACATCCGGCTCCCATTGCGTATAAAAATATTACATGGAAAGATCTTTGGCCTCAAATTGTTCATTCTAAACCTTGAGGAATGACTTATGACCTGTGTCTGTGTGTGTGAAAGATGATTGGTGATAAATTTTCCTTTGTAATCAGGGTCCAACATTTCTGAGTGTGAGGACTATAAACTGGACTAGGAGGAGGTACTGATGGGGCGGCAGGGGGATGAGCCCCTCAGAAGGCCCCTGGGTCCCAGGCTGCCCAGCACTGCCTCCTCCTGTAATTTGTAGGATAGGTCTCTGCTGTGTGAGGGCTCCTGATCCATTGTTCTGAGCCAGAGGAGGAGGAACGCTGATATTGGGCCTCATTAAATGTTGGCAAAATTGGGCTTCTGGAAGTATAAGAAAAGGGAAAGGAGAAGGCTCTGAAAACATACTCCCATGTTCTACAAATTTCTGCTTGGGGCCTAGGGTGTGAAGGGAACAGCGTGGGCCGGCATCTGCCCCTAAGCACCTACAGAAAGATTCCTTCCTAAAATCAAACAAATAACGCCGTCTAACAGATACGTTTTGGTGTCCTAGTGTTGCATTTTAATGTCCCTGATGTTCAAGCCATGCTTTGATTTGTCACTCCACATGCTTCCAAGTGCAAATAAATTTCCTGCATTTCATTGCCACCTCTATGCAGGTTTCCCAACCCTTTAAATATTCCTGACTATTAAATCGTGAGGTTTATTGCCTGATAATCAGAATTCACTTAAATAGGGGATATAACTTGTACCCCCTATCCACTTCTCCCATCGTTTGAAGCAAGCCGTGTGTATGACACGAGACTCCTACCTTCTGTGCCGTAATGACTTGCACAAACAGCCTGGAACACAGTGAGGACTTGATTGAGGTTAGATTGGAATTTAAATCACACCAGGTGCCTGATGAGCTAGCTCTTTCTGGGGGATAAAGCCAGTGCTGAGTTGAGCGCATTGGGCTGGTGGGTGGGGAGGGTTGGAAGCCCAGGGGCCTGGTTTCCTCAGACGGTTCTTGAAGCACCAGGGGCCTCCCCACGGGCTTCCAATCGCCTGGGTATTTTTAGTCCTCGCTTTTCATGTAAGTTTCCCGTTAACTGCTTGCAGGAAATCTTTTCTTGGACATAATCTGCCCATTTCCTGAAGTCTTCCTCTCAGCATTGTGTGTCCGTTAGGGGATGAATCAAGTCAGCAGATTTAGAGAGAGAGTGTGTTCTCTGCCCTGCGCGGCTGTCGCTTTGTGGATACCAGAAAGCTGCCTTTCTTGTCTGTTTCTCCGGGTGAAGGGAGGAGGGGCACGTCCTTGGTGTGTGTCAGTCGCTCAGGCAGCCTGGCACAAATGTCCTTTTGTGTGTGGAGGGGGGCATGTGTGTGTGTCTGTTGCCCTTCCCAGCGGACACTTCCATTTATGAGGGCCGGATGGTGCCCTCTGAGCTGTAAACAATGGTGTTTGGGAGATAAAGAGCCGCCTCAGTGAGGAAGCTGTGGTGGCAGCAACTGGGTCTCTTTCTCTGCCTCTGCTCCCATCCACCTCGTCTGTCCGCTGTGCCCGTGGGCTGGTGCGAGCCTGCTGGGACCTCCGTCGCCCCTTCCGAGGGCCGAGCAGCACGGGCACTGTGTCCTAACCTTGAAGACGTCAAATGTGGGGAGAGAGAGAGAGAGAGGCTTTCCATGATAAGGATAACAGTTTCTCACGTTTGCACAGTGTTCGTTTTTAAACGTATCTTTCGAAGAACTGAAATTCTGGCTTTGAATGTAGGGTTTGTATCAAAAGATAGGACTTTGAGCGCTGGCCCTGCTCTTTAGTAACTGGGAGACCTCGGGCAAGTCACGGAGCTAATGACAGTTTCTGCTTCGGAGCACGTTCCAAAGCTTAAATGAGGAAAAATATATAAAGTGCCTGCCACATAAGAAACAGTCAAATATTAACCCCAATAAAAGGAGAGACAAAAAGAAGGGGTATTAAGTGGGATATTTTAGGTGAGTATGCAATGCATGAAATGCTAAACGTTTTAGTTGCTGTTTGGTGTGAGATTGGAAACTAAGCATCTTCTCTCACCTCTAAAACTGTCCTCTCACCTGGACTCTCACCTTAACCACTCCTTCCTTATCTCAGCTTTCCATCACTGTCAGCTCTTCTCTCGAATGTCAGTGTGGTTCTGCTGAGAGCAAACTGCTGACTCTTGAGGCCCGCTCCTAGCCCAGTGCTTAGTGCAAAGTAGGGTTCAACAATTAAATGAAGAGGCACTCATTGTGAGAAACTCCAAAATGCGACCCCTTTCCCATCCACAGAGGCCTGTCCCTAGTCAGGCAAGCTTATTTCTTGATTTGTTGTTGTTAATCCTCACCAGAGGATATTGTTTCATTGATTTTTAGAGAGAGTAAAAGGAAGGGAGGGAGAGGGAGAGGGAGAGGGAGAGGGAGAAAGAGAGGGAAGAGGGAGAGGGAAAAAGAGAGGGAGAGGAAGAGAGAGAACATTGATGTGAGAGAGACATATTCCAGAAATCAAACCCATGACCCTTTAGTGCACTGGCTGGTGCTCTAACCACTTAGAAACACAGGCCAGGGCACTTATTTTTTTTATTTTTATACCCAGGTGTTAGAAATGGAAACCATGCCATAGGCTTTCAGCAGAAAGGAATTTAATATAAGGAATTAGATGCTTATCAAAAGCATCTAGGAAGAACTAAAGCTAGATGTTCACCAGTGACACTTCCTACGCCCTCAGAATACTGCTGCGATGATCCCGTCCACACCCCACTGCACTCTGTAGCTGTGATATCGTGATGGGGAGGTCAGACCTGAGAAGCTACTGCTGCCCCTGCCCGGTGGCACTCAGGAAGCTGGAAAAGGCCTCGGCAAGGAACATGTAAAATGTACCATGTACGTGGAATGAAACACCCAAGTCTTAAGTGGGCTTTCTCTGAGATACCTCTGTACCTCAAGCATCTGTAGGTATAAGTTAATTACCAGCATCTCACAAAGTTTCCTCATGCCCTTCCTAGGCAGTCCCACCCCACCCTCAGGAAGCAACCGCCATTCTGGCTCTTCCCCACCAAAGGTTATCCTGGTCTGTTTTAGAGTTTCATACAAATGAAATCTGGCTCTTTTGTGTAAGGTTTCTTTCATCCAGCGTCATACCTTTGAGACACACCCATGTTGTTGATTGTGTTTAGATCCCATTCCTTTTTACTGCTGAGCAGTATGACATTGCCTGAATGCACAGGTGGCTTATCCATTCTTCTATGAATGGATACCCGGATTGTTTCCAGTTTGGGACTGTTATGAACAAATCCACTTTGGACCTGTAATGTACTTTAAAAAAATAAAATAAAACTTGTGTTTCTTCACACAGCTTTAGATTTACAGAGGAAATGAAAAGCTAGTGCCGAGATTTCCCATATACCCAACATCCAGTTTCCCCTCTTATTAACATCTTACACTCAATATACAGTATTTTTTAAAGCTCCCTTTGGCCTAATGGATTGCTGTTGGGGAAGACTGCAAATACAGTGCTACCAGTAAATACCCATAACGGGAAATCATTTTTGTTGTCCCTTTGCGATTATTGACCAAGGATTTATTTTGTCAAATAAGTCGGAGTCGTGAATGCCTAAGTGTTGGCCTGTATCCATTTCTGGAAGTCTTACCTAAGGAAGGATTCGGGGTCAGGTCCTGGGTCTGTAGGTGAGGGTTGATAGGGCTTATGTCATCATTGTACTAGCAAATGATATCCCCACCATCCCCACTTCTGTCTTCTTCACTTCCTGTTTTTCCTGCCCCCCCCCCCCCCCCCAGCAAATCCTCAATAAGACTGTAAAACTTTCTCCTGAAGTGCGGCTTATGATTATAACAATAATTAATATTTATGTTGCACTTGCCAGTCTATAAAGCTCTCTAACATCCATTTCTTCTTAATTTCAGTCTAGTGAGGTGTCTGTATACTTACAAAGGAAATACTGAAGCTTGAAAAGATTAAGTTATTTCTCCAAAGTCACACTACTGGTGATGATGCATTTAGGATATACTAGTATGCCCACTCTCTCTTGTTTTTAAGTCCTGTTGTTTTCTTTATATCATATTCTTTTTACTCAAATTTTGGGCCTCAGGATTCTTTTTCAAGGCAAAGCTCAAACTATACTTTTTCCTTGTCTTTTCCTGGGGTCCTGTAGACTCTAGAAACATTCAGTTGCATGTTGTTTCCTGAACACTTCACAAAGATTGCTCTCTCCGTGCATTTTGATGATGATGATGATGTCTTCCCCTTTACATTCAGAATACTTTCTCTTTCTCCCATCTTTCATCTCTTGTTCCCAGAACTTGATTCTGGGAATATTTTTCATCCTTTAAGATTCATCTCATATATTATTACTTTCATATGAAGCATCCCTTGATCACTTACCTCCTCCATCATTCCCCTTCCCTCACCACCTCCCTTCCCCAGTGAGCCCCACAATGAGATACAAGGGTCCTTAGGTAAGTTTTTTACAGTCTATTAGGAGAACTAGACATGTTCAGAAGTGATGATAACATAACATGGAGATTAAAAATTGACCCAGATATAGATTTATTGAGTTTCCACTGTGTATCCAGCACAGATGCACAGTACATATTTGTAGAATTGTATTGAATAATAGACATGATATATCTGGGCTCAGCAGCAATGGTCTTTAGCATAGGCACAAATGAGGCTTACCTGCTGTGGTTAAAGAGAGAGAAGCAGTCTCTGTCCACATACATCTCTATCCAACTCTTCTTCATCTTCATCCCACTGGGTCAGAACTGTATATTCTTTGGATATGTTGAGGGTAGCAAACTGACAACTGAGTTCTCAGGTGATTTAAACATTTATAATATCATTTCATATATCCTGCAAAGATCACTGATATTTTAATCTGTCTGTATCTTTATCTATGACCGAGAATACAAAGATGAGCACATTGTTAGTGTCAAGAAGCTCATAGCAGGATGTAAGCACCTTCACAGACAAATAACAAGAAATACATAACTGGAATCTTTTTTGGAATAAGAT